TCGATTAAAAACAATACAACTAGTTTTTCGCAACCTAAAGCCTAACGTTGAACAATCACACATCAAAAGCTCAAACACATTTATACCTTAGTGGACAAAAATAGCACGAACAGCAAAAACAAATTGTTTTCATTGAATAAAGTTTCCGTGTAAATGTCAGTTGATAATATTGAACTCTTAGTATTTCCACTTATAATTATTTTATCCTCATCTCCGACCTATTATGCACCTACTATATTATTATAAATATATATAATTGAAAGTGTTCCTTTATAATATATGTTAAATGGTAAAGGGAGTTAATCAATTTTGCTTAAAATGACCTTTTCATATACCAATTTATTCTACTCGGTATTTTCTGGGTCGATAGACCGATTGCGCCCGATAATACATTTTATTCGATTTCAGCATATATCAAAATTAAAAACAATATTTTTTATTGGAATATAAGAGTATTTAAAAAAGTAAAAACTTGCAAAATGTTTAGGATAAAAATATATATATGTTGTTTTTAACGATTAGAAACCATGTGAAATGTTTTTTTCAAAAAAACATTTATGCTTAATGAGTGATCAATGATAAAATAATTCTGTCATTCTCTTAATTTTTATTCAACACTTATTAAAGTCATGGAATGATTTTTTTAACCACTGAATATTCTTTTCATATAGTATTATTCTGCCCAGTGCATAACAATTATGCTTAATACATGTACATTTAATCAATAATTTGAACGATTATAGTACTGAAATCATGTAAATTGCATTAAAAGCTCGAACTCGGGGTAAATAAATCCCCGAAGTGTCATTTACGCGGTGGCCTCTTTAGATGAACGAGAAAAAGTTGATAACGAAATTATACATATAACTGTGGTATTGTGGTTTCCGGAGGGTTTCGATTTAGCTAGGGTCATGGTAAATGAACATAGTTTGGTAAAAAATAACGTTCCAACAATAAATCGTACATGTCATTGCTTTTGGATTATGATTTATTGTACGTTTCCCTTAGAGTCTAAGTTGTTTTCGTTAAAGAAGTCATCACCAAACATAAATGTCAAAATAAATAAAAAACAAATTGTGTCGTGTTGGATGTTCATTATTGTAATGGAATTTGGTTTGTAAATACAATGTATAGTCATACATATTATTTTCATGTCGATAGTCTTAATAATTTTACACTTTTTCTACGGTTTCATAAAAAAACAAAATATTCGATCACGAATTATTTATTTTCGAAAGCTGCAGTATTTCTAATTTTAATCCTTTTTTATATTTTATATCAAATTACTTTAATGTTTACTTTTTTTTTATGCAGGACTTCAACCATGCAATTAAATACAAACAATGTAAACTTATCTTCTATATAAATGTATTATGGAAATATATTTTTTTTGTGTATCAGAATAAACTAAAAAAATCAGTTAAATTTAATAAAATATGTGTCATATTATCACATTACATTATATCAACACATTTTTTCTAAACTGAAATTTTTACAATATAGTGATGGTAAATACATGAAATGCAAACTGACAATTTTTTTATACTTGATGATATGTAGAAATTAATTGTTTGTATGACTTCATAGTATTTATGGACTTAGCAACACATTGAAGTGATTATTTTTTTTTAAATGTACAAACAGACTGAACAATTTAACGATTGTTCATCGTTTTTTGCAAAATTGATATTTCTAAATGTAAAACCTAATAGCTATTATGCATGGCCAAAAACGACAGTGTTCATAAAATTTTAGTTATCATTAAGTACGTCGGTATCGGTATAGGTTTATGTCATACAACACGTGAGTGAAGTGTGAAGTCTACGAGGGCCAATTTATATTATTAACAATATACTACACTGCACGATAATGGATATCAATTGAGAACTTTTTGTTCATGAATTTCTGAAAAACACATGCATTTTTTATATCCTAGCACGGCGCTAATGACGAGTCGAGACGTTTATATATATATGTGTCCTCGTTAATATTATATCTTCACTTTAAAGTTAAAATATTGCAATTCTGCGTTCGCTGTACGGTTTATTTGATTTTTTTTTTGTGTATAAAACGCATCTATATAAACATCCATACAAAATAAAAAAAACAAAACAAAACAAGGAAAGATATGAGGATTTTATTTATTTTACACTCCGTGTAGCTATATTTCCTATTGTGTCACGAAGGAATGAAAGACGATGAAACTGTCGTACAATTCTTACGTTGTTTTACTCCGCCAGATCTTCTCAAATGTAAAATGTATACATTTATAAACTCGTTTATGTCACGACAGAAAGTAGGAAATGAAAAACCAGTAAACATAAAAATAAACATTCAACTTTCAACTTTCGCATCGTTTCATAAAAGTGTAGAATGCAAATATATATGCATGATAAATATTATATACCTATATAATATTATATTTCCCGGAAAAGCCATATTATATAATACTATGATGTACTCATATTATACTCTTACGGATGTACTTTTATGATCACCATTATGCTCTGACATCCGTTCGTTAAAGTCGATACAAAACATTCGAAATGTTATTATGACTCAATAGTTCAATACCTATTATACTGTGGTATTAACTGGAAACCCATACTGTTGTTACTCAATATTGTAAGTTACGATGATATTCTCACTTTAAAAAATATGTTCACAGTCGAGTGTATCATAGAATAAATAATTTGGTTGGTCAACAAACACATTGGTACTCTTTAAAATATATTGTTTGGTTTTAACTAGATATGGAGTGAAAGATATTCCTAGTGCATAGTGTGAATTCGATTACTGTTTGTTATAGCACCGTCACCAGACAATTCCTCGGTAGTCTTTAATCCAAAAAAAATATTTTAAATATTAAATTATAATTGTAGTATATAATTAAATATTTTTCTTCTGCAAAGACAATATTGTGGAATTAGAGATATGTTTTTGTGTTTAGTGCAATGGAAAAAAAATTTAGGAGCATGCTAAATTGTTTTCAGAATTTAATAAGTTAAGATTATTAATTTATTGTAAACCAATGTTATTACTTACGTTTTTGTGGTAATAACAAAGCTTATCTCAAAATCGATTAGAAAAACAAAATTATCTATGTCACAACTCAAAATGTATGATCAATACTTCTTTCTTATTATTTCGATATCTTATACATCTATAGATAACCAGGCTTCAAGGTAAGTCTTATACTTGACATCTTTATTGAAAAAAGGAAAAAACATACACCTAAGGTCGAAATGTATTTTATTATAATATTGTTATGTTGATTCCCTAGTTCATAACTTCCTAACAAACTTTATTTTCAGCCTCTCCCAGTAGGTTCAAGCGACAATGCCAGCGAGACCTAATATTTAGTTAACACCATAAACACAACAATTCACTGAAGTTCCGTCACTGGTTGGTTCTTAACCCACACTTTTAAGCTTTTTCAATGTAAATAAATAAATGTAATCACTTATAATCAGTGTCCCACATAATACGAATTGAAGAATTTTTGACATAAAAAAATATTATTATAGCATATTTTAATATATTTAAAAAAAATAATTTTAATGATTAATTTATTGCCCTCAATATTTTATATACTTTTATAAACAATCAAATTCATCTTGGGTTCACGATGTAAAATAATACAATACAACTGTGTAAGTCAACTTTGGATGGTTATTAATCATTATCATATTTTATTATAAGAATAAGGGTTGTGAAGAATATTTTTGTGTGAATACATTCATAACGACTTTTTTTTAGATCAAGCATAATTTTTACAATAAATATATTTTTTAAATTTCTTAAAATGTAGATAATTTTTTGTATTGTTGATTTCAAACGTTTTACCATTGACCATATTATTATTATTATTATTATTATTATTATTATTATCTTTTCTTAGTTAAAAATATTTAGACTAATTTCAAGCTATTTATACCACACACCTATGTACCTACACTGTTCTAAAGTGTGTTAGTACAACGCACATTTTACTTATAAGTTAATATAAAAAATGTATGATGTCAATCATAAAGCTTTATAAAACATTAGTTGAACATACTGTATAACAAAAAGAAAAATAAACTATTTGAAATATATAATATTTATATATTTATTATAAATAAATTAGAAAATATAATTAGAAAAAGAGGCTGACCTGGTATGATTCGACCAAGTATTCTATAAAACAGTATTATTCGAGAATATAAGTATTGACAAATTGTTTGAAAAAGCAATAATTTAATTTTGGTAATTTGTGTAAAATACAAACTTTAAAAAACAAATTTTAAGTTACGACTTCAAAACAACAAAAGTCGTTAGAAAAGTGTCATGATTGTATCTAAATATTTATAAATAAAATCATAAAGATATGTTTTTTAACTGTTTTAACTGTTCTTTTAAAATCAATTTAGTCATGTAAAGTTATTTTTTGGGCGTTGCGAATGTATAATATTTTTTTTTTCATAAGTATACGCAATTTATATTTTGAACGTAGTATGGTGTGGATTCGGGTTTAGTATGGTAGTAAAATGGTTTTTAGTGTAAAAACAAAAAACTACTTTGAACTTCCGCACGGACACGTAAATACTATTTATTGGTAAGTAGAAAAAAATACTTTTATTTTTAGCTTGTAACTTTTTACTAACACCGTCACGCCAAGTTACACGTTCTAACAACACTGATTTAATCTGATTAAATTGGAATGTTGAGTAGGAATTTACAAATCTCCTTTAGAAAAGTTTGTACTGTACTTTTTATAATGTTTTATCATTAATATTTTGAAATGTTTTATTTCATCAACAAATAAACAAAGATCAAAGATAAGTTACTTCAAAAGTAGAAATACGTTTGAAATAGTTTTAGTTAAACAGTGTAATCAATCGAACTGGTGTAAAACATTTCGGTTGGGACTATAGTGATAAAAAATAAATAATAAATAAGACATCTCGTAATATTGCTTAGTGTAGGACAATATTGAGTAGGGATGAAATTGCACGTACCCAATATGTCGTTGCCCCTAGGGGTTGCCAATCCTCCCATTGTCATTACGTGGGAATGATCCGCTGTGACAACGATGAGTGTCTCTGACAAGTCCACCTTAGACAAAATGGCTTCCAGCGTGGACTCTAAGACAAGCGTTTCCTCTAACGCCCTGTAAGGATTGTTGTAATGGTGCGCGTGGTCGATGCGGCCACCTGAAAGATTTCCCAAGTAATAAAATCTTTATAATAGTTATACAAAAAAAAAAAAAACAAGCGGTTGCATAACCAATACATTATTATGGTTATAGTTTTAAGTTATTAGTTATTGATTTTAATTGGTCCAAGCCCCAGGCACATATTTTCTGTGTGGCTATCGTGGATTTCATTAGGAATCTCAAGTTTTTTTCTGAAGATTACCAAAGTTTTAAAATAATACCATTGGGTATTATACTCCGGTGTGGTACACATGCACACTCTCCTCTCACATGTATCTCCATAATCCACGGCCCTTAAGATTCCCTTATTTCAAATTTATAGTTGATAGTTATATTTTTAAAGATGGACCTTTATATATTTGTATTAATTGATGTTTTATAGTTACAAATAAATTCTTATATTTTAATGCAGAATACTGACAAAAGACCTTCAACTAAACGGTACCAGAAAAATATTAATGATATTGAAAAATATATTAATACTTATATGTTCGAAAGCTTTTTACCAGGTTTTTTAATGCAGTTTTTTATTACTACAAAAATTAATAATATTTGACAATTTAAAAAAAGGATAACAAACTTTTAAGTATATATTTATTTTTTTGTATTAAGGCTTCAACTACTAAGGTCATTTGTCTGGTACTTGGGGGGGATGGGAGACGGTTGGTTAGAACAAGTGTATATATTATTAGTACAAAAAATGATCGAAATTAGTTTTAAAAAAAAAAGTTAAAATAATGACAATAAAAATATTTGATGTTTCAATATATTACGTACATATATAATATTATTTTGATATAATGGACAGTTGTTTGTACAAAACAACCACTTTTAACCACGCCAATGATTAAAATCAATGTCAGTCCTAAAATTGTCAGCGCTCTTCAAATTCATGATATTTTTATTGGAATACCTTTTTTGAGCACAAGTGCAGTTCGGCCATTACCTGCATTTTACTATAGTGCAGTTACCTTGCATACCTTTTTTAAACCCAAGTGCAGTGCAGTTCGACTAAAATAAATGTAATTCGACCATACCCATTTTTTGTTAATGTATAATATTACGGTATAATACCGAGAAACAAAACAGAACAATATTGTTGGTTAAAATGTTTGATTGGCTATTATTCTTTCGAAACATATAAAATCGCACTCTTTAATACGAACATTAAGAAACAACATTTTACTGTGTAAACAAAATATTTTATTATTGATCAACTTACAACTGTATGCTACATGTACATAATATGAGAACAAATCAGTCTATGAAAGTAAATTAAAATTTTGAATTGGTCGTATGCCAAAAAATGAAAAAAACACAGTATAGGTGCAAAGCAACCAATTGCAAAAAACATTATAAATAATATAATTAAAAAAAAAAAGGCATCAGAAAAGACCAGGCGATGTGGTGGGTAAGTGATGTCGAGTGGGTGGTGCGATGACGGCGGTAAGTAAGTGGCCACTGGTCACCAATATACAATTCTCACGGTCGGTCCTGCGGAGCGGACGAGGGTCACAGGCGCGTTTGCATGGGACGTGGAGACGACCTTGGCAGCGGACGAAGCCCGGCCACGACGGCCTCGAGATCGACGACGAGGATGATGGTTGGCGACGAGCGGCTTGTGCGCGATCTCCTGCAAGTGCTGAAGACGTCGACTGTCGTGCCGACGGAAGCGGTGACCTAAGCGTCGAAGACTACACTATCGTGTTGCTTGCGAAATCGGCGGTGACCCAAGGCGTTGCGACTCGGCCCGGCGAGATGAGACCGCTAGGAGAAACTGGGAGAGAATCTGCTGATAGAATTTGCTGTGCTGATATTTTCCGTGATTTTCACCCTGGCGGGCTGCGGTTTGCACCGTGTCTGCCGATGGTCCCGTAGTCGCGAACCGCCGAACCACGAAACGTTTGGTTCCCTCGAGTCCAGCGATGCTGACGTCCGTGTTCCTAGCGCCCATTGTAGTCTTCTATTACTCACTCACCATGAGCCCTGGTCGTCGGCACTGTCTTCGTGCATCGCTGCAGTCGTCACTGGTACCGTGGGGTGGCGTCGTTGCCCTCACCGGTACCGATAGCCACAGTTGTCGTTGTCATCGTGTCGTCGTCGTCACTCGCGACCGAAGCAGCTGGACTTCCGCCGCGCCACCGCCAGTGGTCGGATAACGTGCATTGGTGACTTACCGCCCATCACTCTAAAAATGCCCTTTCACTTACCTTTACTCGATCCCACGTCGCCTCACCTTGTCTGCTGCCCTCGGCGAGGGGGTGGGGGAACTTTCAGACGCCTTCACTACGGGGACAACGGCAGAGCACGCGTACGGCACCTGAGACGCCATTCCAAGCGGAAGAGACGAGCTCCGTCGTCCGCGCACTAAGAGGTGCGCATGTTGTTGCTGTTACCCCCGGGTCCAACCAATTGACCAAGTTCCCAAAATTATTTCTGACCTCAGTTCCCCTCGTCGGGTTGACTTTCATCGCATCGTCATGTTGCGTTATTACTTCCGCTTTCTACTCAACGCCCGCGACCACCACGTGTTCTATTATCAACTCTTCCGGTCCATTACTAGAGTCCTCTTCCGGTTTAGTTATTATGATCGACGGTGCATCGTCCTCAACGAACTTTGTCGCATAACTCAGAAGCATCGCTAAATCTCTGATGTTCGGGTCTTCGTCATAGTTGTCAAAAACGCGTAATTCGTTTTCCATCGTCTGGTAATCGACTTCCTTGATGATCTTAATCATGTACTTTAATGTTGCTCAGACGTCGAAAGCGGTTTTAATGTTATGTTATTCAGCCATTTTGGGGTTTTCAGGTTTATGGTGCAGGTAACAGTAGTCAGAAGAATAAATTGCAAGTGAACAGATTTTGAATTTCGTCCTAGGCCGTCGCTGATTAAGTAAAACAAAACATCGTTTATTACTAGCCACCGTCATCATATTATTACTAATCGGCCACCACTAGCTGAATTTCGGGCCAGTTTATTTTTCTCACCACATATTATTTAACTGTTTTAACTAAACTTACTCAGAAGTTAACTATTATATACTGCGATTTTACAATTGTATATGTTTTTTGTGTACGTGTTGGTACACTGAGTTTCGTAGTACAATTTGTATAAAATATAATATTTTTTTTTTATTTAAATGTCAATAAAATTGTATTCGTTGGGTCAAAAAGCTTGAAAAATAAATAAGAGACCATCGCCATAATATCTGTTTAAATATTAAAAGTGTAGAAGCAAGATTTTTTATAAGAATTTAAAGTTCAAATTTTGTAAAAATTTATCAAATTGAAAATGTACAAATTATTTTGTCGTTAAACATTTATAAAATGTTCAATTTTTATAGCTAAATATTGAAAAATTAAAATTAGGTTCCACATGAATACCTAGTACATTTTACATCCAACAAATCTAAAAAATATATAAACACAGTTATTTTGTTGTAATTCAATAATATTATTCGTGGGTGCTTGACACTTTTAGAGTATAAGGAATAAGTATATTATTATATTTTATACAGATTATGACATTTTTAAATGCTATTTTAGCAAAAAAGATGTATCAGTATAAAAGTTCTCGAGAATTTACTAATACATTTTTTAAGGGAGCCGGAAAAGCATAATTATTTTAATATTTGTGACTACCCAGACATGATACTAAAGTTTCATATTTTTTCGCGTTTTCAGTTGCATATCTATGCATAATATTTTTAATGAACCGAATTCATATTTTACTTATGGCCCTTATAATAACTGTTAGAGGCTAGAAAAAAAACAACTAACAAAAATTGTTAGTGATTCAAAATGTTTGATGACATATACCCACATATACCTACTATTATAGTACGATACATTCGAATATTTGACTTATCGTGTCATCGCCGTATAATCTCAATATATATTGTATGCACATTATACTATTACAGTATTACACACACATAATATTATTTTAAGCTGCAGGTGAGTATCCTGTAGGAGAGACCGCCATTTGGATGGGGCATACGTTCATTTTGAAGCTATACATAATAATAAATAACAGTCGTTATTATAATAATAAGAAGACTAGCCCGCGATATCAGGTTATTTGGTATACCTATATGTACTACAGAAGATATCGATTATGGACGTTCTTAATTTATATTATCGTTCCGAGCGACTACATTAATTGTAATTAATTAATCCAAAACGATTCGTATATACGACTAATGGCTTTAAATTTAATTTTGCACTTTCGAAATACCAAACGCACATAATGATGTATTATTATAATATAATACATCACTAACAAAGCCAGTATCCATCGTAACTGGCTTATTACAGTTTTTACTTTAAGATGATACTTAAATCTATTCTTCAAGCTTACAAAAAACACCGTTGATAGGTTGTTTGAAAATAATGTGTGTTTTGATAATTTTTCCAATTATTGTATAGAACTTTCCAGGAGGTATATTGATACATTTAAGAGGGACTAATACTTCACTATCACACTAGTTACACTGATGATTGAATGATGACCAAATACGAACAAGAAATTCTTTAACGTTATTATAATTTTTTGGAGATAATAATAAACGAGTATACAATGAGTAGTAATGATATTAAACGTTATCTAAATAAATATATTACACGTTAACATAAATATGTAATAGCCAATATGTCATTAATATGTAAATACAGTGAAAACTCTTTATAACGAAACTCTTTACAACGAAAAACTCTATATAACGTAAACATTACATAATAATGGTTGGTTTGCTATATAACCCATTAGACAATTCATTCTCTATAACGTATTAGTCACTCTCAATAACGAAACAATATTTTATGTTTCATAATACAATTTACTTGTTATCGTATCTATTACATATATAAACTATAAAAATAATGCCGAGATTTCCAAGAACGATTACATTCTTTCATTATTTGTAAAAATAATGATGTGTTTGATATATAATATTACATAGGTACATACATAATTGTACATTGTAAATTAGGTATAATTTGTAACAGACAGTCGTTCAAACACTTAAATTGAAGAAAATTTAGTTTCAGTGTTCGAATTATTCAACTTTTGCATTAGATGTCTTCAGTTAAATGTTGAAAAACTTTATTTTAAGATGTAAAATATGTAGGATTTTTCCTAAAACCAATTATTGTGTTCTTTATTTTATGTACAGGAGTTAAGTACCTCCATGTTTATCAATATAAAAATAATATTTTATTTTGTCATGGTTACGTAGTGGTAGACTTTATAATACCCAATTTCATGAGGCCTTGTCTAATTTGGATAAGTTATTGTTGTTATTTTCCTTGAGAGTTTCAACCTTGTGAGGAGGATGGACGCCAGGATAATATTGGTAGTAAGATTTGATAATTTGACAGAATAAATTCTATTTTTAAAATATTGTAAGCTAATTCTCACACAAGTAATTATATGTGTGTATACAGATTACCTTTTTGCCTATTACACGCATACTTCAACGAAGTGAGAGCACTTATTTTATTTTTATGTTTTAACAAAATTAGGTTATAATGTAATTTAGAGAAAGGGCAATTTATTTTTCGTTTAGTTTAGATATGGTGTAAGCTGAATAATTAACACGCATAGACTTTAATTTTAAACGTATACCTAGTGTTAGTTTTGTCAAAAAAAAATGAAAAAAAGCTACATTTTATTTTAATTAGCTTAATTATTAATGTTTTAAAAGAAAAACACATGTTTACAATGGATATTACGTGTTTAGTTAGGTTAGGTTAACCTTCAATGTCATATATTTTGGTATATTGTATTGTGCCTTTCATACTTTGAATGTAAATAACTATCAAACTATATGAAATTACACAATAATATATTATGTAATTATGTAGACGATATTGTATTATTATATAAATTATCCAGATTATTGATGGTCCATATTTGAATTTGTATGGATTTGGGATAATTGTGTTTCATTTAATTTGTTTGGTATAACTATAATAATTATCACGACTGATGTAAGCATATACCTACCTATTATTCTGATATGCGAATCTTCAAAATATTCAAAATAAACTTACTTTCAACGAACAGAAAAAATCCTTTGTTGTTCTTCTGGAGTATAGATAACGCTTTGACGGCCATCTCGTGCAGGGGTGGATCACCGTTTTGTCCTTTGTCTCGGTCCACCTCGAACTCCATGTGCGAATACGCAAACAAACCTAGGACACATATAAACATGATTTCTTTTATTTGACTTTGCTCAGCGGTTTTGTATCAAAGACATTATGTATTTCAACAGCCGATATTTTGGGCTCGCGGCCAACCAAGGATCGTCACGAGACACCGGTTTTGCCACAATTCCTGTTTGTTTTTGAATCGTTTCCAAAAAGTTCCCTTCCAAAAGTACTAATGAAAAAAAAACCACCCCATTAAGAATCTCTCATGGTGTTAAATTTCACATGGTTCGTGGGAACAATGCAATATGTATTTTTATCTAAATTACTAAAAAGTTTTCAATTTCAACAGCGTCTTCATATCGAGAATTCAATCAGAACTTTAAGACATAATGTATGATTTAATTAAGCAATTAATTAATGGAAGTCGACAAAAAAATAAAATTAAAAAAACTTTAAATGATAAATTATTATTAATAATGTAAACTTCTGAAGGAAAGAACAATTATATAAAAATAGTAATAGAACCATAAAGCATAAAATATATCTAATATTATATTTCCATTTTAACTACTGGGAAATCGAATTAAATTGTATAAAAATATCAAACACTTCAATCATTTATGTATAGAAAATATGATTTATAATTACTAATTCAATAAAAAGTATTTATTAGACAGCTTGGATAAATACTAATATACATATTTTTAATATTATTTTTATGAATTTATACACCTTAAAATAAAAGTATCATACATGGAAACTTCTTAGGTCTCAAAGAACGTTTGAAATTTAATATGGGCAATCTTGTGAATTTACGTTATAAAACTTGTATATGGACTCATAACCAATTATCGTATCGAAAAATAAGTATTGGTTAGTAGGTAAGTACATTATATGTTTAAGAAATCATTGTAAGATATTATTTTTAATGGTCTCTACTGCACTACCTATTTAATCTTGGACATTTTGTTTGCTGTGTATAGGAAAATATTATATGAGAACAAATTAAAAAAAAAACATATTCAAAAATATATGGAGAAAAAAGAACTTATGAATTGGCACAGATAATAATATAACCAGTAACCACTTTGTGAGTACACATAGTTCACATAAGGACACGCTTATTATTATGTACATCAAACATTCATACATGACCCTATGTACGTATTTTGTATACATAACGTTGCACACGCATACGAATGCATGAAATACTAACCCACTTTAAACATTATTATACAGACCGTCTAATAAAATGTATACAATATTATGTTTTTTTACTGCCACTTGCCAGCACTAAAAACTAAATTTACTTTTATGAATTGTTATAACTTGATAACAAAATGTGTTTCAGTTTGAAATGAAAAATAATATTTTTTTTCGACGTTCAAAGTATCTTAATCACAATAAAAATATCATTAATGATATTCTTTATTAGAAGTAACTTATGACCAATAAAATATGTACTTATTAGACTGCAATATTATTAAAAAAACGCAATAGTGTAATAATAAATTGAATACAAATTTAAAAACACGGTCGATATAATATGAGTATTATAAGCATATCGTGCTCGCAGCATTTTAAATCTATTGGTATTAATTCCAAAAAAATGATAATTATTTTTTTTAAATTTTGAATAATATTCTGAATTTATTAATGATATGATATTTATACTAGAAAACATAATATTGAACTTTGAAAGAGTTTTTTTACTATACATTTTTAAATTATTAGTAATAAACTAACAAATAAATGAAACTATTTGATTACTTATAAAGACAATTAATTGTACAAGGTATTAAGACGTAGTTTTTCTTCACTTACTTCTGTTTGTCACAATGGTGTATAATTATAGGCTACATAATAAAATATGACATATTATTATAATTAAAAAAAAAGCATAACATTGTATTATTATACGTCTGAGATCGAGGAGTTCCATATATATTTATTGTGGTATCGTGGAGTGGAAACCGATTGAAATTTGTGGGTTAATCGATAATGTTTTTGTTGTACAACAATGTTTATTATTATCTTTCGGGTCACAGTGCTCAAAAAGTTTCACTTTACGACATTCGGAAATCGAATCTTTTTCTGTTTTTTTCAATAGTTTCTTTAATCGTAAACAAAAACTTATAACAACTAATGTTACCAACAATAAATGCTAGAAAGTGTGGTTTTAAGTACCTTTAACTGATACAGAATCATTTTTAAAATGTAATGTCATTGTTCAAGAATTTAATATCACAATAATAATAAACTATCGTAGTTGTCAAATCTGTGCCTGTATAGGAAAACCAAAACATCCATTTTTTTATTTTATCCATATTTATTGATTTATTTTTATATATTTATACCTAGGGGAAATTTGATATTATAGTTTAAAAAAAAAAAATTGTAATCCTTATCAGTATCATAGGTTAAATTTGTTAATAGTATGACTTGGCGTGTTAGACAACTTTTCCGGTCTGGATTGAATTTTCTAGTAGTTAGTATATAAATAATTATTATCATAATAATAATAATAATAATAATATCATCTTTATTGCAACAATAACATCTTTACATATTAAGACATTTTAAGACAATTTACCAGGCGACGGGATTTATATCTATTTTTATAATGAATATTTTTTTTTATTTACTGAACATATTTTAGATTAAAATGGTTAAAATAATAAATAGTTCACAGTAATAATCCTGTGACTCCTTATTATGATTTTATAAGTATTACCGGTATTTATCCATGTACAACAAGATGTAATAAAAAAACCGCAGAGCTAGCTGTGTCGTTTCAAGTGTACTGGATTTACTCTGTAAGGGGTGTGATAAATTTGAATTCAATAACACATAACCTGAAAAAAAGGATGATTCTGACTGTTGAGTGAAAGTAAATTTATGTTTATGTTACATTATTATTAATATTTTTTTGAATTGCTGATTAAATTATTTTTTGCTAAAACATCGCATGTGAATAGGTTAGTAATTAGTCTGTATTTTTTAAGATATGTAATTGTGTATAAATAATAATAATATTTCTAATAATTATATAAGGTTTAAAGTCTATATATATGAATAATATTTTTGAATTACGACAAAATAAATGAAATCGTTAAATGAAAAATCACTATTGTTCGCTTAAATATCCAATCTTGATATTATAAAATTAATCTTTAAATTGTACCTAAAAATGTTTGCTCATTTTAAATTACCACGATGAATTTTGTGTTACACGATAGACTCTATAGGATAGAGCATTATATTTCACATTTTCATTACATCTTATCTTGAATTAAAAATGCCATTGAATATAAACAAATCGTAAAATTGTGAAAACTTTCTACCTATAATGTTATAAGTATATTATAGTTTAAAAATATCCAAAATATTTTATCATCAAAAATACATAGACAAAAAGTTGATCACTTTTATCATAAAATAATAATCATAACACTATTATTTTATATAATATTATTATTTGTTAACAGTGAACACCGGTGTACCGCAAACCATGTGCAACGTGTAAATATGTTAAATTTAAATATTTTAAAATCTTGTGTGAAATCAATGTTTTTCTTTGATTTTCATCTCGCTCTATCGAGGCCTCCTAATGACCGAGGGGTCATTGCCAGTCTATGTCAAGTTTTAAAATTGATAACGCCTTCCATAGTGTGAAATAAGTAAAAACCGTTTTAAATTAAAAGAAAATTATAACTTCAACTATTATACAAATGTATTAATTGCTACGATTATTTGCTATTCATTCCTATAAAATAAAATGATACAATTAATTTATTGAAAGGAAAAAACAGCTTTCGACGTATTAAATAAAATTGCACAAACTTAAGTATTTCTTCTGCAGTTTTTTTTGCTTCCTCCCGGGGTTGTAAAATATTACATCCAAGTATGAAATAAATTAAATATTTTGTGTTTGTCTTTGTAATACGTAGATAATAGATGCTACACAAGTGACCTAGGTTGGCATACAGTACTAAAATCCTAACTTCCCTAATGAAATAAATATATTTAGATATATTATATTTATTTACTTATACAGCCTATTATTTATTTATCATTTATTTTTATCAATCATTCATAGACTTACCTAAAAGATAATCAACATTTTTTGCATCAATTTTGTCCAGCTGACTATTATTCCACACATATTCTGCTTTAATGTTTCGTTTCTTTTTGTCTCTAATCCAATCGTCTATCAAATTCCGACCGTCCAATCGTCTACCTTCGTCGGTAGGTTGTTCTGGATCTTGTGCTACTTTTGGTAACCAATGTCTTCTGCCACCACCTAGTATTACCTTAAAGTCAAATAAAATAAACATTAATATAATTTCAACGTCTATAACATTTTTAACTCCGTAATAAAACAGAAACATTGTATATGCATTTATGTATAATACCTATCTGTTTTCGACGTCTATTTACTTATATTATTCTTATAAAAAAAATAATATCATACATCATACATGTACAATATTATATAAAGGTAGGTAGGAACATAACTTTTATTTTTAATATGGAGAAAATACGTTTAAAAAGTCACGTGTTGTTTATCTTTTTTGTGTGATTTGGAAACCGAACATAGTGTGTTTTAAAGTATATTATTTTAATACAATTTTTGAATCTTGATTTATGTTAAAATAACTCAACAAAATTATTTATTCATTTCATTTTTTCGATGTTTTTTTTTCTTATTAATTCTCATAGAATAGGAATATTGGATGAAATAATATAATGAATGAAAACGAATTTAACATAATATAATTTAAAATAAGTATAGGTAATCATTTTATGGTAACAAAAAATAAATGATTTAATGACTAAACTCTTGAATAAAACATTAAACAATCAGAGGTGCATTGGGATACCGAAATACCGGGAATTGTGATGGTGGTATGGCTGTATGAAAAAAAAAGCGTAGGGAAAGGACTGTAAAAGAGAATAGTGGGTAGATGAATTATATTATACAGTTATTTTTTTGGTGTTCAAATGTTTAAATATTTCCTTAGATTTAATGAATATGCGTTAATATGGATACGTGTAAAGTTAAATACAGAAAGGTCAAACATCGAGCATGACTGGAAGTCTAGTGGTTGGTATTCCATAAGGTACAATTGTATGACAAGATTAGATTGATATTGGGTAATCTACATATATTCCACTGCTAGTTGTTATATAATTTGTCATGGTTGTTAATTTTGGTTGAGAATGTAAGAAATCCTTATTATTTTTTGTATTATTTTATGGAACGTTTTATGTGGAAAGAAAGTCTGTTTGGCATGGTCAAAAATGTATGTGAAAATATATGAATATTATGTTTATTATAATAAATATGGTATACGTATACCTATAGGTGCAGTATATTTATATTATGTAATTATACATATATTTTGAAGTGTTCAGTTTTGTACAGTATTAGAGTAAAATTATTCAAATACTTTTTAACTACTCAAAATTCGAATAACTAATAAGTATTTCCAATAGGTCTTTTAGAAAAAAAGTGCTTGGACAAAGAATTTTTGAATTAAAAATTTTTTAAGTATTAATCTGTGTTTGCACTAAAATACTTTTATTGAAGATTAGGTTAAGTTTCTACTTATTCTATATACTTATGTTATAATAGTTTATAAATTGATATTTTAAATTACAGTATTTGAATGATTTTAAGAAGTATCTTTTATGAGACTGATAGTGTATGCAAAGAATCACATATTGCAGATAAATACTAAATGTTGTGAACATTTAAGAAATATATGGTTGTTCGTAAAGACTATGATAATCTACTCAGATCAATAAACTTTTATACACCAATAAATACAATATTATGTGTATTACACGTACATCATTATATATAAAAAAAGTTGCAGTGCATTATTATATTAATGATCATAGATATGTTTTAAAAGACCGACGCAAGGGCCAGAAGTGGTATAGAAAAGATAGAGATGCATAAGAGTGAGTTTGTGCAAACATTTAAGATTCTGAGCGAAGTATTGAATATATTGATTTTACAAAGATGTGTTTGTGTATTTTAAACAAAAAATTGTTTTGAGTCTGTTTAGTGCGTACACGATAAGAAGTTGAAATTATGACTGGAAACTTTAAAATATATTATAAGATTGCTCATAAGTTGTTGAAAATTAAAATTAAAAAAAAAATTAAACTTAATACATTCATGCGTGTCTGAAGTTTGAATTATGACAACAATTTTTAAAATGTCGAATATTTTCAAATTATTTTGTAGTTAAAAAATTATGGAATGTTCAATTTGTATAGCCAATGATTGACAATTTAAAACAACGATTCTCATAAATAGTTTATACTGTAACCCTAAAATCTAAAAATTATATGGACACAGGTTTTTTTATAGACATTTTAAGTTCATATTTTTGCACGAAATTACATATTAAATCCTTAAATAATGTTTTTAGTTATTTTGTTATAATTTAAAAATGTTATTTGTGGGCATATGCAACTTTTAGAGTATATTATTAAATTTTATACACATAATGACATTTTTAAATGTAATTTTTTTGTCAAAAATAAGTTTAACCTACTATAGGCCTAACTATTGCTTTATTGAGTTATTATCTTAATTATTAAGAAGATAATCATACTTGAAGTTAGAGATTTGACGAAACGCGTGAGGGTCATTTGGAAGCATATTGTGAGTTACCATTAGTTATAACAAATTATTTGCGCCAAAATTAAGGTAACAATTACCAGGGACTAGAAAACCATGAAACGAAATTATACTATCTAGTATTAATTCCAGTACCTAAACGACTGACTCAAATAAGGATAAAGGATAGTGGCGGGGTAACGCCGTTGACGTACGTCGGAACAAGTCTGGTTTTAATTCTTATCGTCGGAAAACCTGACGCATTTAATTAGATTACCTTTTTGAGCAAAACTAACCCACTGGGTCAACCAATGGGACAATGTGGGTTGTTGACGTGCAATCTATGACAGTCACACATAAGATACACATAAGTCAAATTAAAGTACAGTTTCGTATTGCAAAAATTAAAGAGAACAGCCTGCGGCGGAAGGCATGTCTTAAGTACGATTATTGTTATATCAGCTACATGCTGGTGTTTTCAAAAATAAACGTTGATTGAAGAAGTTGTTGAAGAATTTTCGGTGAACAAAAATAACCTCTTCAGACGAATAAAATATGCCATATTTTAGATTCTAAGCGGAACGATTATTGTATTGATTTTATAATGATGTGTGTTTTTTTTATAATAGCGTTTGAAGACACTTTATATAGTAGAAGATAATGTTTTGATTTTATCTCAACTCTGGTGGAACCTTTTGGCTGAAAATCGGATCTAGTTTGTACTTTGCCAAAAGTAAAATATTAACTGTACTTTTAAAAATAATCTTGAATTGAAAAAAAATACTAACATTTGTTAATATTGTAATATTTTTGTTAACTATATAGTTACCAAAATGTTAGACCGTTTTGCTCTTAATCGTTTTTAATCGTACACAATGATTTATCAGTGAATTAAAATGTAACACGTCCATTACAGTGGAGTACTGACTGACAAGGTACACTCGACGCCCATAGAGAAAAGTGGTTCAAATTAATTCAAATTGCTGTATTACTAATACTAAAATTAATTATTACTTTAATACCTTGCAATAATTTATATTTTAATATTATAATGATACTTAGTAATATAAGCAAAGACGTCGCTTTGAATCGTTTTTCGCATTCAATGATTTTATATCATTGAAAACAAATTTAACACACAAATTATAGTGATCCACTCAATACCTACAGTAGTACAGTGTGGTACCCATTTCCCCTCTGTTTTGTCTTCCGTGTTTACACGATCTTTAGTAGAACAAACACTTCAATTTTTGAGGATTATTACGTAAAACTTTAGTTATTGTTAAAATCTATTTTCTTATTTTGTTGTAATTCAAAAACAAATAACTTTGGATACTTGAAATTTTCACCAAATGTATATAACTGCATTTTATATACATTGTACAATTTTAAAAATATTTTAACTCTGATTTAGATTTATATATTATAGACGTTTTCGATCTTTTAATTTTAATTTTTTCTATAAATATCGATAAAAAATATTCCCACTGTCAAAAAGCTTGAAAATTGAAAACAAGGTTTCTCATAAATTGATATACTCGCAATAGATGTTTCAAAATATTAAAGATGCATTGCCTCAATTTTTTTTATTGAAGATTTAATATAAAATGTTTAAAAAATTAGATAATTATTCGAAGAATGGCTGTATTATAGTTTAATTTTTCCGTTATATTCTCATATTATTAATTATTATGAAACTCTAATAGAATTTAGGAGTTATAAAATTTCAGCGCACATAGTACTTACTCACGGTTTAAAAAATTACTGATAGAATAAAAATTGTTTTTTGATAAAATACTATTTTGTACTCCTGAAATAATTATATATTGAATGTAATTGTAAAACTGCCTCAGTTTGAGTTTTATTATAAATGTATCTTTTATAATACGGACGTCACTTAAGAACAACAAAATTGAGTTTAAAAACATAAACATCACACGTCAAAACATATTTTCATTTTTAAAAAATTTTTTTATTGAAATTTAGTTCCATATCACGTAGACTTGTACCTATTATTATTGTTATCGTCTTCATTATACCATACCCTATCAACTATTGGAGAAATACAAAATTCCATTTATTTGTTTAAGACAAAATTTACATACTTTAGAATTGTATAGAATAATTGCTTTAAGAGTACGTTATAATATTAATGGATTTAATAGTACAGACGCATATGATCTAGATTCGAATTATAAAATAAGATATGTCGAACAGGGAACATAGCATTGAATTGCGCGTGCAGTTAATTAACTTGTGTTGTTTAACAGGAAATTATAAAAAGTTTTGATGGATATGTTTTTAATGGAATTTTCAGAATAAGAATGCATTTTACGGATTTCTAACATATTTCTAGTCGTTTGAAGATACATTCACATGAATGTGCATTAATACCCGTTACCCTCCTATACCCAAGGTATAATATTTAACGTACTGAAAGACAAATGTATACCTGCGTCCATTTGAGACATGAGTACAAATATTAATTATTGAATTTTTTTTTTTTGTTTGTCAACAACTTGTTTATAATAATTATAAAAATGATCGAATTTGATACGAGTATCTTAAAATTAACATGAATTGCATTGCGAGTAATATGACAATGTGGCAATTATTAAATATAACAGAAATTCATAATTTTTTTTTAGGATTCCAAATAGTTAGAGTTAAAGGTTA